CGACTTTCCAAACGGTCGCTGGGGTGATGCCAGGTCACCAGGTATGTACGCCAAAGAGTTTATATCTGGTGCAATCTAAAGTTGAGGCGCACGTTCTAACATCATCGCTTCTTGTCTTCAGCTTTCGGTGAAATCGATGGTTATGGTTTCAACCTGAAATACCCCGCTGAAGAGTGCCTTCAGCTATGGAACCACCCCGAGACTCTGCAGGAAGTATTTACATTATTTGCCAAGTACTGTACCAACGAGTTGAACGTCCTGCCATGGAGTGACGCGCCACTGTTCCCTGAATCCGACGTCATCCGCTCGAAATTGGCCAACATCAACTCGAAGGGTTTCCTGACCATCAACTCGCAACCCGCCGTTGACGGAGCGCTTTCGTCCCACCCCGTGTACGGTTGGGGTCCCAAGAACGGCTTCGTGTACCAGAAGTCGTACCTTGAATTCTTCGTCAGCCCTCAGGCCTTGGAGACGGTCGTCAAGCGGATAGCCGCGTGCCCCTACGTCACGTACTATGCGGTCAACAAGCAGGTATGTTTCGCGTCATCACACGTTTTATGGGCTCGAAAGAGTTTGAATCGATACTCATGTTGGAATCTGTCCTGCACGTAGGGTGATTTGCGCACCAACACCCAAGGAGACTCGCCCAACGCTGTGACTTGGGGAGTGTTCCCTGGTCAGGAAATCATCCAGCCTACCATTGTTGACTCTGCCAGTTTCATGGCCTGGAAGGTGCGTTACATACTCTACTTACATTAGCCAACGCATACTCAACGGTTTCTCTTGATTCCGCAGGACGAAGCGTTCGAACTCTGGAACAAGTGGGCTTTGCTGTACGAGGCCTCCACGCCCAGCCGAAAGGTCATCCAAGAGATCTCGGACACATGGTTCTTGATGAACGTGGTCGACAACAACTACAAGGAGGAGCAAGCCATTTTCGAGATCTTTGGCGACGCGTCCGAGACCGAACTCGCCAGCAGGTGACTAGCTGGCGGCGCAGGTGGGCTAGTAGGCGTCAGGAACTAAAGGTCCTGCACCCCACCCACCACAGATGGAAAACAAAGTAGCGATGCGGACGAACGTGTCGTCTGGTCCCTGTTTTGTTACACCATGAGGATGTACATTTAGGGGACTTTTTTGGGGGGGGAGGCGTGGGAACTCGTGTGCGTACGGTGGAGATTGGTCCCGACCCCTTGTTATCTAAATATCCGTAGCTGCTCAATGTTTATATTAAATGTGATTTTGTCAGGCAAGTTTCATGAGTGCTCCTTGGTTTCGCTTTGTGCAAAGTGTTCAAAGCGCAGCACCTTGTAAGTCACGTGACCGTGACCTTCGTCTCTCTTTCGAGCTTCTCTCGCTCCGTTTGACACAAAAACTTTTTTAATTTTTGATTTTGTCGGTCCTGTGCACTTTTATTCTCATATCTGATTGTCAGAGGCCCATACAAACGAGACAAACGGACTCCCTCCACATCAAAACCCGCAAACCAACATATCTGCGATGGCTCCGCCAAATGGCGCTGCCGTAAATGCCAAAAAACAACAACCTGGACGAAAGGGAAAGAAGGCGTGGAGGAAGAATGTAGATACCACACAGGTCGAGGAACAGCTGCATGAGCTGCGGACTGAAGAGCGGTTGGGGTGAGTTAAGACAGGGGTGGCTCGGCGCTATCCTGCGGAGGAATGTACTAATATCTTTTCTTTGCGTCTGGTCATAAGAGGAAAGCTGCACATGAAAGCCGACAGTGACCTTTTCTTCACCGACAAGAGCGGCGACGCCAAAGTACAGCGAAAATACAAATACGGCAAGCTCCGAATTGACGAGATCCTCACCCCGACGTCCGGGTTCTCTGGGATCACATCACGCAAGACGGCCAAGACGACGGTCGAGATCAAAAAGTCGGAGACGAAAATCCGGAAGGCGTCAAAGTCCCAAACGGCCGTGATTGAAAATCTGTCGAAACGGAAACTGGAGCTGGGTGTGGGACGAGTAGGCGCGACTGCCGAAATCCGCAAACAGCAGGCGGCCATTAAGAAACGAAAACTGGACCACAAAAAGGGCGGGTTTGATCTCTGGGCCGTCACCGACGCCACATCCTCCCCCTCGTCCGACCCCATCGCCGCTGATCTGGCAGCGTACCTGGAACCCACGGTTGTGAAACCCGTCAAGAAACCCAAGTTTGCGGACACCCGACCCAGCGCCATCCCCGCGGTTGAAATCACCCATTCGGGCGCTAGTTACAACCCGAGTTTCGATGCTCACCAAGAAGCCCTCCAGCGCGCAGTCCAAGAAGAAGAGTTTGTGCAGGAAAAGAAGAGCAATGCTGCCAAACAGCTCGCGTACCCGGCGGAACTGGACAACCTGGACGATGAGACCTTCTTTGATGACTCGGACGATGAGGAAGAAGAGGAAGGCGAGAAGGAAGGAGGAGAATCAGCAGAAACAGAACAGACCAACGGTGTAACCACCCCAACCACACCATCCACCACCTCCCTCTCGCTCTCGGTCGGCGCCCCCGTTGTCGAATCCCGCAAAACGCGCGCGCAACGCAACAAGCTTCTCAAACGCGCCGAACAACAACGCGCCGAACTTGCCCTCAAACAAGCCAAGCAGCTCGACAAACAGCTCAACCGACTCGGCGAACTCACAAAGATTGTCTCCAAGGAAGAAAAACTTCACGCGGCCCGGTTAACAGAACGAGCGCAACAGGCACAAAAGTTGGCTGATGAAGAAACGAGGCGCCTGGGCCCTCATGCGTACGTATTTATTGATTATTTTTTTATTTTTTTCGTACCCGCACAATCCAAACTCGACCCCCAAACTCACCCACTGACACACATCCCGTTCTTTTTTCTCAGCTTCAAACCCCTCCCCATGGACGTGCAACTCACGGAAGACCTCGCCGACACGCTCCGCGAACTGAAACCCGAAGGCAACATGTTCAAGGACCGCTTCGCGTCCCTCCAAAAACGAACCCTGATCGAAGCCCGCATCCCCGTCACCCGGAAACTCAAATACAGACGCAAGGAAAAGGAAACCCATGATTATAAACGCTTCAAGTAAAACAAAAACAATAACACACGCTCCAACACCCCCGCCGCGCACGACCCAACCATCCATCCACCACATTGGCCCCCCGTCCGCGCGCCCTCTTACACCGGCCCCCACCTACACATGCCCCCCACCTACACACATAACATGTACCATATTCCGGCCCCCTCCCATAGTTTTTTTTCCTATATTTATTGTCGGATTAGGATTGAAGAAACACCCCGCGTCTCCCCATTTTACTCTGTGGAACTGAATGAAAATATCTGTAAAAGAAGATGCTAGCAGAGAAACGCTTGGGAGCAGCCCCCCTTTTGTTTTTTCTTATTGTTGTGTGCCACTGTTGAGAGTGCAGTTTTATATCCTTCCCCCCCCCCCCCCCCCCCTCACCGCCCTCGGCCCATTCGTAGGGGGTTTGCACACGTGAAACCGTTCAGGCCTAAAATAGGGATGCTCTCTCTACTGTACTGTCATTTCGAACTCTCCTGTCTGTCCTGTTTGTCCACACGACCCGCGAGTTCCCGACCGGCAAAAACAACGGAGCGAAAGAAATAAAAATATCATGCCCCCCTTTTCACGTTTCTTACCGCGGCAAGACCAAAAACACTAACACTAACACGACTCGCACGCATTTGAGGTTCGACTTGCATACACCCGCCCGTGTGTTTTTTTTGTTTTTTTTGCGCGCGTCTTAGGTCGCCGGGGGCTGCGATGATGTGTGATGATGCCGCGTGACACCCACGAGCCTACCCGGCGGGCGGAGTGTCGGCGGGGGGTAGTATTTGCGTTTTGCGTCGGGGACGCTGGCGTGAATGTGAATGTGGTGTTGCTGCCGATACCGTGGAGGAGGAGCCGCTTGGGCAGTGAGGTGGGGTGTGTCATGCATGACCCCAATGAATTTAATAAGGCTGCTGGTGGACTGGGAGGAGGAGGAGGATGGCAGTGCGTGGAGAGAGATTCGGATCCTCAACGTCCCCCCCAAGGCGGGGAATCTCACAAAACACCCGTATAGGGTTCCTTCCGACGCGATCTGCCAATCTGGGAAACCGTTTGCGGGTCCGGGACATGCTGGACTGGACCCGCGTTCAAACATCTCTGGTGTGGGTAAACAAACTCACATTTTGCACATGGAGCGATTCCCCGGCCCCAGCACCGAGATGCGCGACCAGCACCGAACCGCGATGCCGTCGAGGGGAACAGCGCAGATGAGGGTCGTGTGTGGTGCATGAGGGTGTCGTGGTGGCATTTCTCCGCTATTTCGTTGACTCAAAGTTGGGAGTGAGGGTTAGGGTCTGGGGAGCATCGTTGGTGGGTGTATGGACTGCTGGCTTTACCAGTTCCGGAAAGGCACCCTCACATGTGGTCTTTATCAACCTCCTCAAACCCCTCCCCCCCCCCCCCCCGCCTCCGGAACCCAACGGGTTCACGCATCGTTCCCGTGAGCTCTACCTTTGACATTTCATCGGGGCGACGGCTGGGTCACTGGGGAGGTGGGGATTGCCTCTTTCGAATGGACGATTTGAAAGGACTCGGAAAGATTCTCTCGCAAGTGGCGCAGTTTCACGCGCGTCAGATTCATGAACGTGTTGGTTTTGATTTCTGAGCAGCACCACCCCTGTACCATCATGTTAGTTACATGGTGCCATCCTCCCCGTTTTCGTTCGACGCAAAACTCTATGCGGTTCACGATTGCATCAATCGCGAGAGTGTCTTTAAGCGAACGAAGCATGATGTGCATTTTTTTACTCTCTGTGCGTGTATTTGACCCAACACAAATATGTGAAAATTCATAATAGGGCGTGCGGGACATGATCTGCATTGGCGCCCGCAATCCAGTTAGACATGATCTGCATGGCACTTTTGCGATTGCCGCACTTTGCTGCCTAGTGCTAAGGCCACAGGCAATGCTATCTACCTATACGGAGCGTGCATTACTTTTGTGCTGCATCAAGTCTCAGTTAGTATATTGGCTAGTATCCCCGCCTGTCATTCAGCAGTCCGCGGGAGAGCCGGGTTCGATTCCCGGACTGAGAGCTTGTTTTTTGCATTTGTCTTTGATCGGCTCAGGTGCCGTATGAGCCTGGCACTGGCTGGCAGCATGGGCAAGGGGGTGTTTTGTTAACCACTGTTGTAGGGTGCTACCTAGAGCAGGCAGTTTAGAGAGGAAAAGGCAATGGCTGCCACAGTGTGTAAGAAGAGGGGGGGGGGGGGGTATTATGGCACTCAATTGCACGCCACTTTGATTACCCACCATAATTCACTGCCGTACGGACGGAGAAAAGGCTCGGAAGCTGTCACAATCCGATCACGACACCCCACAGTTGCCCAATGTGTCTTTTGCGCAAAAGTTCCAGTTTGGGAGAGACGACCCCCTTGATGGGCGTTCAATGAACGAGCGTCGGGCATGACTGCTCTTCACATGGGCATCCCCGCATTGTGCTTACATAAAGGCCAAGGCGGGGGCAGACAGATAGCGAGGTCAGGAGGCGGCACCAAAGGCAAGCGGGTTGCGGCTAAGAAATACCATGCCGTTTTTGCTCCGTGTGACACCTTTTCATCTTCAAGGATAGTGAGCAGTGGACCATGAATTCCACTACGCGATGTATGCTTCTTTCATAGGCAATAGGTTGATTGCTCCAGCTTTCCAAAGCGCCACAGTGCATTACAGTGTTGGGGGTTCGCCTAGTTGCTCATCTTACGATTTGCCGTTTACAGCCGAGGTCGCCGAGATGGAAGTGGGTCTCGCGTGGCTTGGCAGCGCGTTTCGTTCTTGCGATTACCCAAAGTGCACCCCAAAACCAAAAACGAAACAATGCAGAATAAAACAAACTGACATTAAATGGTGTGCATATATCTCAGATCCGAGTGTCGCGGGTGTTAAAAAAAAAAAAAACAGTATATATTCCCATCCCATCCCACCACCACTCCCAAATCCCACCTCCCACTACGCAAACGTGCAACCTCTCCACAGCCCCATTTTTCATTTCCAACAGGTCAAGAATGTGCAGCAGCATGCCTCCACCCTCCCAGACCCCAGTCACACCCACACCACACCACCAATCGCACCTACTTGCGCGCACTCCACCCGCGCATCCCCGTCGCATCTCCGCGTTCCGAATGGGCGGTGTTGTTGTTGTTGTTGTAATTATCGCCAACACGGTTGTTGCCGCGCGCGCGGTCGTGGGGAGCAGACGAGGCGCGGGCGCGGTGGGCAGCGTACGACCCGCGGCCCGGATGGCGGTGTTTGCCGCTGCTATTGCGAGTGGGGTCGTGGGGGGAGCGGTGTCGTGAGAAGGCCGATGATGATGATGATGATGATGACGAGGGGTTGCGACTCCTCGACATCCGCATCTCGCGTTCCCCGTCCCTCGCTGCTCCTCCTCCTCCCCTACTCCACCCGCGCATCCCCGTCGCATCTCCGCGTTCCGAGTGGGCGTTATTGTCGTTGTAAGTATCGCTAACACGGTTGCTGCCGCGGTGGAGAGCAGACGAGGGGCGGGTGGTGGCGGCGTACGACCCGCGGCCCGGAGATGATGATGATGATGAGGGGTCGCGACGACTCGACATCCGCATCTCGCGTTCCCCGTCCCTCGCTGCTCCTCCTCCTCCCCTACTCCACCCGCGCATCCCCGTCGCATCTCCGCGTTCCGAGTGGGCGTTATTGTCGTTGTAATTATCGCTAACGCGGTTGCTGCCGCGGTGGAGAGCAGACGAGGGGCGGGTGGTGGTGGCGTACGACCCGCGGCCCGGAGATGATGATGATGACGAGGGGTTGCGACGACTCGACATCCGCATCTCGCGTTCCCCGTCCCTCGCTGTTCCTCCTCCTCCCCTACTCCACCCGCGCATCCCCGTCGCATCTCCGCGTTCCGAGTGGGCAGTCGTGGCGTTGTTGTTGTTGTTGTTGTCGTTGTTGTTGTTGTTGTTGTTGTTGTTGTTGTTGTTGTTGTTGTTGTTGTTGTTGTTGTTGTTGTAATTATCGCCAACGCGGTTGCTGCCGCGGACGCGGTCGTGGGGGCTGCCGCGGTTAGGTGCAGACGAGGGGCGGGAGGCGGCGGCGTACGACCCGCGGCCCGGATGGTGGTTGTCGCTGTTACTGTGAGTGCGGTCGTGGGGGGAGCGTCGTGGGAAAGCTGATGATGATGGTGATGGTGATGATGATGATGATGATGATGGGGGGTCGCGACGACTCGACATCCGTATCTCGCGTTCCTCGTCCCTCGTTGCTCCTCCTCCTCCTGCCGCACTCTCAGCCGCGCGTCGCACGACTCTAAACCCATCCACCTCCGCTCCCTGCTCGTCGTCGGCGGGCTCGTGTTCTCTCTCCACGTGTACCTCCTCCCGACCCTCGTCACGGACACTCTTCCTCTCCCGTGTCTCGCCGCCCCTCCTCTCGCCCGCTTTCTCACTCCTCTCGCCCCCTTTCTCACTCCTCTCGCTACCTCTCTCACTCCTCACCCCCGCGACCAGGTCCCACACGCCCAACACCTCGCTCACCTGGCGCTCCACCAACCGCAAGCGCATCCGCTCCCCCTCACTCTTGGCGCCGGCGATCCGCCCGGGCACCAACTGCTGCATCAACTCCAACGCTCTGACCCGCCCCTGCAGCTCGGCCTGTTGCCGCGGGGTGCGCGCTACGACCTGCGTCACTTGTTTGCGGCGCAGGTTCAGTGGCGCCGCACGGGGGGCAAGCGAACCTGTTGCGATAAAGGTGGCGGGACGCTGCTGCTGCTGCCCCTGCCCCGCAGTCAGCATGGGCGCGGCATGCACCACCAACCGCTCGATTTTCCGCCGCGTGATTTCAATGATGCTGACGCGGTCGGATTCCAGCACCCGCCACGCGTCTTCGGGGCGGTCCAGCGCGACGTAGATTTCCGCGAGGTTGACCGTGATGCGGACATCCGGTTTCTGCGTCGTCGTCGTTGTTGTTGTTCTCGTGTCGGGTTTCTTGAGTGTGTGCTCCGCCTGGATTGCCACACCTCGCGCGCGTTCGAGCCACTGCGCGCGGTACGCACGAAACGCCTCCTCTGTCTCGTCTTCGGTTCGGTTCCGTCCAACTGCGTAAGCAACGAGCCGGAGGGGGTGTTCCACATTCACGGGGGGTGTTGTTGTGGTAGGTGCAGTTGTTGTGGAGGTTGTGGTTGTGGGGGCGTGGACCAACAACTCCCACGCGCGTTCCTCCCTCCCTGTCGAAATCAGCAGCCCGCAGAGAGCACTGTAGACGGGATCGTCGGGGACGATGCCGGCGTCCTTGACGACGAGGTCGTACCACTGGAGCGCCAGGTCCGCGTCGCGGAGCCGGGCGGCGACGTGGACGAGGTGCATCAATACAATCGTGTTGAGTTCGACGCCGCGGGTGCGGAATGTTGATGTGGTGGTAGCAGCGGCGGCGGTGGTGGTGGGTAGCCCGAGATACTCGTGAATAACGGGGAGTGCTTTCGCGACATCGGATTTATCGGCTGCGCGGATACAGCACGTGAGAAAAGCCGCGAGGAGGTGCGCATCCACCTGAAATTTGGCCTGCGCGTGACCACGTCGGTTGGCACGCACCTCCTTCCCATTCTCCATCCTCACTTCTTTATGGCGGCCCTCCAACCGCTCCACATCGCGCCACACCTCGCACGCGCGGACCACACCCTCCGTCCCACCGACTTCGGCGCACACTCTCAACATGGTCGTGACAGTCACCGCGTCCACGCCAGGGACACCCTTCTCCCTGCGTCCCTGCTCAGGGACGCTTTCGCGCCACACCTCCCACGCGGCGTCCCACCCGCCTTCGCGCACGCACGGGAGACACACTTTGAGGAACGTGTTGAGGTGGTAGGTTGTGGTCGGCGTGGGCAGGGCGTCCCAGATCTCGCGGGCTTGGGCAAAGCGCGCCGTGCGGGAGTCCGCATCGCCTGGGGCGGACGCGGCGAGGGCGAGGGAGTTGAGCAGCGCGGTGTAGGCGTGCGGCGTCGGGGTCAGGTGCCGCTTCTTCATCTATTCGAACATTTACAAATAAAAAAAATAAAGTAAATAAACTCTGAGCGCTTACACAACGCTTGCACCACCTGTTTGCGTACCTCACGATAACACGTCAACACCGTCTTATACAGCCCCTTGCGGCCCAACCCCGTCAGCAGCGCCCCATACACCTCCGCATTCGCCGCGCCGCGATGCCGTTCCACCAGCTCCATCGCCTCCGCCTCGCCGCCGTCCTTGGCCACCAATTTCTGCACGCGCGCGCTCAGGTGGTAGGGGTCGTTGTACCATTGCACCTTCTCCCCCTCCGCCTCCGCCTGCTCCTCCTCCGCCTCCTCCTGCATGGGTTCCTCAACCCTTTTTTCATTTTCACTCTCTTTGGGCAGAGACTCGTGCGTGTCAAATGCCCGCATGTCCCGTTCCTGCTCCTTGACCGACACCCGGTCGCTTTTCGGGCGAGCGTAGCCGCCATCGACGGCGCGGGCACGGTCTCGCCGGGTAAGGTGCCATCGTCGGGGCACAACAACGAGTACGGCCGCTGGATGCTGTTGCGGCTTCAAGAGCAGCGTGGATCGCCTCAACGGGCATGTAGAGAGGTTTCTCGTAAACATTTGTTTTTTTTGAATGTTTTCGAAACACAAAAAACAACTGCGAATGCTGCCATTCTTTGGGAATGAAAACGCGAGCCCCTCCTAAGCCACACGGAACCTCCGATTGGCCGAGACACACATCCTACATCTAGTCCGCAGTCAGTCGATGCAGAAATTACATCAAAAACAAAAGAGGCAACCCGACAGGGAGCGATGGTAGTTGACGTGTGAGCAAATGTGTAGCAGAGAAGATATGTTGGTAAGTTATGAAATTTGATAAAGGTAAGCAAAAGTTTTGGTGGAAGAAAATAGTGTCTTCCTCGTAGCGCCGCCGTAACGACAACACAGTTGGCAGCATTTAAAAAACTCCAAAGGGAAGATCACCGACGCAAGAGTATTAGGTTTAAATATGGGAGGTGTTTTATTGTACTCCAGGGTATGACAATCGAGAGAGAGAGAGAGAGCAAAGGCAGGGACGAG